TGTTGGCCGCATGTGTCCGTTGGCCGCCTGAAATATATTCAACGTTTGCCCCACGGGACGAACATTGGATATATTTCAGGCGGCCAATGGATACATGCGGCCAACATAAAGTCCCCTTGCCCCTCCGAATCTGCTTGGAGATTACATGTACTATATACCTGTATACTGTTGTATTTGAGCTATTGGGTGGTACCGTTCTATTTGCAGACACAGTTTATATTAGAGCTCGGGGCCCTTAGGAACCGCCCACCATTCATCTCACCTTACTTTCATACAAATTACAACTACGGCATACGTTAATCACCGTCGTCAGTCTTATGGGCGTTCAGAGGTCATGAAAGACTGAAGGTTTTTACCGTAAAATTCCTCACTTATGTAAGGTAAAATCCACGGTGATGTATTTATCTATGTCTTAGCCAAGAACAGGCTGATTGCAAAACTCCGGATTCTCTATAAAGTCACTTCTGACTCACTCTAGCATGATTTTAAACACAGGCGATCATTTTACCCGTGTGAGAACCGGGTCTAGCCCTGGCAGGAATGAATGATGTTTTGACAAGTGAATTTAATCTCTTAGCAGATCCTAGGGTGACTAAAATTCCTACCAGCTTAGTTTACAGAGCGGGAAGAAAATCTGACAAAAAAAAAGAACTTAGATGTGATAAAACGGGGAAAAGACGCCCATATCAAGCCGGATCCTATTCTAGATAGCTGTAGCTGTAACTGCTCTCTCGATCCATCCGGTCTATGGCGTCCCACGTGCACAGAGTCGCGCCCTCCCACTGGGGAAGGGACAGGGAACTTGGGGACAGTGGGGGGTAGGAGGGGCGGTAGTGGTCTTGTATGGCCAAGGCTTGCCTAGCCTTGACCAAAATCCCGACCCCGCCCAAGCTCAGACGCAGAGGGTTGCATTGACCTTTAGCCATGTTAAAACATGGTTTTTAACATGGAGTGTTGCATAAACGAAACATAAAAACGCGCATCACAAAAATACGCACAAAATATGCATAGTTTTCAACACTCTGTCTTGTCGTCTTTCATACTTAATTCTCGTTCCCGAGAACCGCTCGACCGGAAACCGGTTTGGGATGTGACCATAGCATGAGGAAGCTACCCGCTGAGAGATATACGCATGGTTTCATCTGTCCTAGTTCTGAGTCCCTCAGGGGTTTTCACCAGCCCTTGTAGCCTGGATCTCCAAGCAGATCATACGGCGGTAGCCCAAGATAATGGATACTGCCATTGCCACGGTATGATCTGATTGGAGATTTAATATGGATGCTATTCCTTGTGTAACGGAACTCCCCAAGTGCAAGGGACCCCGAACCAGCCTGTAACTAGTGTAAGGCGTTACAAAACGGATGGCGACAAGGCCACTTTAATATCATGAAACGTCACTTAATTCCGTGAGTCGCTTTAAGCACTATGAAAGTGCAACCGTCCAAGTTAAGTGTCAGTCTGGGGTCGCAGGGGATAAGTAAGGTGAGCCAAAGCGTGATGAAGGGTGTATGGGAGATTTCAAGCAAAGAAAATAATCATAGCATGGGTCATCCAAAGCGTTTCAGGGCCTTTCAGTAGTTGGATAGAGAAGTGTCCATCTAAGCCTTTGGTGGCATAGTCACACATCGTTTCTGTATCTGAATCTGTATAGCCGGTATAACCGCCTTTCGGCAGAACACACCAGCTTGACACGGCCCGGGGAGGGGCCCAGTAAAGCCACGGACAACAGAATGGCATTACACTACTCTCCAGACAGAGTGACTTCCCCATCAACTTCTGCTTGAAGAGTAGCATTACACATATGTCAAACTCTCTATTGGTGGACGTCCCACTCCCAATACCAGTCCAGAAGAGAACAAGAAATAGTCATGCCTTGATGTATCAGAGTTATGTATCAACCACGGATTGAGGTGTTCAAAAATTCATTCTTTCCTAGAACTATTGCAGAGTGGAACTCGATGTCACCAAGTATACAGTAGGGGCATTATCATTAGATAGCTTTAAACAATTAGTCTTGAGCTAGAAGTTCAAGGGTTACGTGTAACAAGTCGATCGGTGTAATATAGTCAGCTGCCGCCGCGCCGCGTGCCTGAGAAGCTGGTGTGTTACGCCGAAAGGCGGTTATACCGGCTATACATGTACAGATACAGAAACTCGGGGCGTCAGCGACACTTGGTTGGTTGGTGGTCAGGGTAGCCTGTGAAACCCAAGCTCCTAGTTTAACTAGGGAGCCGGCGAAAAGCTCCCTAGTTTAACTAGGGAGCCGGCGAAAAGCGAGGTTCCGTCAGGCTAGTCGTCAGGGGAAGGGTGTCAGACAGCTGGAAAGCTTCAAGCAGATATGGGGAATGCAAGGTCATGAAGACGTTTACAAGCTCCCATACAGTCACTGTATATTGGATTGGTGAGGTGAGCTTGAAATCTGCATAATGACCCTGACATCAGGGAGTTTTAAACTTAACCATTTCGCCTTTTTGCTTGCAGAATACCCCTGGATATTAAAGTAGATTTGGAATAGGGGTTTGACAGGCCCGGCAGTCTACAGCCATACTAACAACGCGGGTTCGAATAAAGTAAAATTTAGCCAAAAGGGAGAATAATTGACTAGATGGGTTTAGCCACCGTAGAGATCATTTGCTATTCAGAAGGGGGAAATTCACCCTCCCGTGGACTGACTCTCCTGGCACACTATTTACTTCTTTCTTTTTCACAAATTCTACGATCAGTACCCCCGTAGAAGCTAAAAGGAAAGCCTGCTGGAGGCTAGACGGATTGAAAAAACGGCCCCCTCCTAGACTTCAGACTCAGGGTTTGACCTCGCAAAGCTAATTGCACGTTCCCTTATTCAAAAAGAGAAACAAATTGTTGTGTGCAACCAAAATAATATTTTTACTTTCTAACATGTGCGATTCAGGTCACCTCACTAGTTGAATTTGTCTTCCTGTTGGGGAGAGCTGATAAACTGGATACTGCTTGGAAAGTTTGAAACTGTATTCCAGCCACCCAAATATCTGCTTGGAGATTAGTATTAGATTACATGTGAGATAGCGGCATTGGGAGCTCCGCGGTGCCTTCCTCTTGTGTCTCTTGTTGAGAGGCGGCGACAAAATGGGTCATCTGGTTTCCATCTTTTCTCTGTGTATCAAACATGTAATTTTCTAGAGGGGCCCTGGTAGATTTGTCTTAGCAGATAGAAGAAAGTGTTGACAAAACAACTTTCACTAAATTCGAAGTGTGGGGTCCCCGGAGCTTAGGTTTCACAGGTTCGATTAAATTTAGTAACTGATAGCAATGGCCTATGGAATCTGTAGTTTTGCCACCGTAGGATCTGCTTGGAGACCATAAAACACCCCCATGATGTCTATGGAGATTTCAGGGCAGAGATAAGAGGAAAACTACCGAGTGTTCAGGAGTGAGGATTGGGTTATCTTTGCGACTCAACCGTGACAGGGAGAGGTCAGTGATAAACACACGACATGGAGTCCTGGAGGTCCTGTAGGGACAACCGTAAACACAGTCCTAACATTTATCTCGGAGAAAACAGTTTCTTGAATTCACGGTTTCATCTGCATGTTGAAGGGGACATGTACTGTACATAAATTGGGCCTGACCTATATATATATATATATTTAACGGACTGCCAGAAATATCTGTGTGTGGGGG